TGTCAAATTTTATCTTCCTGGGCTCCATGATCACTGCAGATGGAGACAGCAGCCACAAAATTAAAAGACGCCTTCTTCTTGGGAGGAAAGCGATGACAAATCTTGACAGCATCTTGAAAAGCAGAGACATCACCTTGCCAACAAAAGTCCGAATAGTCAAAGCTATGGTTTTTCCTGTCGTGATGTATGGAAGTGAGAGCTGGACCATAAAGAAAGCAGACCGCCGAAGAATTGATGCCTTTGAACTGTGGTGCTGGAGGAGGCTCTTGAGAATCCCCTGGACTGCAAGGAGAACAAACCTATCAGTTCTAAAGGAAATCAACCCTGAGTGCTCACTGGAAGGACAGATCCTGAAGCTGAGGCTCCAGTACTTTGGCCATCTCATGAGAAGAAAAGAGTCCTTGGAAAAAACCTTGATGTTAGGAAGGTGTGATGGCAAGAGGAGAAGGGGACGACCGAGGATGAGATGGCTGGACAGTGTCTGCGAAGCAACCAACATGAACCTGACACAACTCCGGGAGGCAGTAGAAGACAGGAGGGCCTGGCGTGCTCTGGTCCATGGGGTCACGAAGAGTCGGACACGACTAAACGACTAAACACACACACACAAAGGTTCTCTGTTCAAAAGGCTGCAAAATGTTAGCATTAATCAAGACATTAGGCTGTGCCAAAACTGTATTGCCATCTGATGGCATGATACCTGCAAAGAATACTTTGAATATTTTGTTTCTTTCATTCTCTCCCCCACATACATAACTTAATCAAGACATTAGGCTCTGCCAAAACTGTATTGCCATCTGATGGCATGATACCTGCAAAGAATACTTTGAATATTTTGTTTCTTTCATTCTCTCCCCCACATACATAACACTTGTACACACATACTTAGTATGCAAATTTTGATTTTTTTTGTTCCAATCAATGCTTAATTTTCTAATACAGTAGTAATTGATAAAATCTAACATTTTCCATCTGCACAGGGTTTTTTATGAATTAATATGATATACTCTGATAATTAAGAATAAAATTAGGGTTATACGTTTGCACTAACATGTATTTTTCAACAGGGAAAACTATTAAGGTCAGTAAATTAAAAGCAATATTTCAAAAATTTCTGAGAAAGGCATACGCCATCTGGCCCTGGAACTCAGAACTGAGAACTCTTGGGTCCTATTCCCATTTGATTTTAGTGGAAAATGAAATAATTTATCTTACCCTGATTTCTGCTTATTATTGCCATATATTTAGATGCTTACCCAACTCTGGCTGACCAGGACACATATAATTATTATAAAACAATTTTAATTAAGCATAAAAAGGAACAAAGAATATAATATAAAAATATTAATTATAAAGTCAAGTCACCAACTGCTTCCTTACTCCAACCACAGAAAACAAATTAAAATAAAAAAGGCATGTAATCGTTCAGAAAAATGCCTTAAATTAAAGTTTAATTAGGTTTCCAGAGAAAGAGAGTTGGATTATTGTAGGATCCATAGCTGATGTACAGAACCATGAGGAGTTTGCAAGAAAAAATGTTGGAAAACTTCTTGATAGTGGCATAAAGTTAATGTGAAATAGACAAGTGTATCTGGTACCACACAGAGTCTGGTTTTGTAATCATAAATGTGTAAAATATGACATTTGTAGTATGAAGCCCAAATGTAAACCCATTGTTGGAAGATGTATGTTGCTTAAACTTGAGTTCAATTCTGTGGATCTTTTTTTAGCCCTACATAGGCAGGGTATTTTCCCTCAGTTGCAGTTACAGCAGGGGCAACTGTAATAACTACCGTGGCATTTCTCTTCTCAGCATTGTAGGGAAGCTGCTTGCCCATGTTGTGCTGAAGAGGCTCCAGGTGTTTGCAGACAGAATCTATCCAGAATCACAGTGTGGATTTCGAGCTAATAGATCCACCACTGACATGGTATTCCCCCTCAGACAGTGGCAGGAGAAATGCAGGGAACAACAGCCACTCTTTGTGACCTTCATAGATCTCACAAAGGCCTTTAATTTGGTTAGCAGGGATGGCCTTTTTAAAATACTTCCCAAGATTGGATGTCCACCTCGACTCCTTAACATCAACAGGTCCTTTCATGAGGGAATGAAAGGCACTGTAGTTTTTGATGGCTCAGCATCAGATCCCTTTGACATCCAAAGTGGAGTGAAACAGGACTGTGTCCTCACCCCAACCCTTTTTGGGATCTTTTTTTTGCTGTTATGCTGAAGCACGCTTTTGGAACTGCAACAGAAGGTGTCTATCTCCGGAGTAGATCAGACGGAAAGCTCTTTAATCTCTCTAGATTGAGAGCGAAGACCAAAGTCCAGCTGAAATGCATGCGGGACTTCCTCTTCACCAATGATGCAGCCCTTGTTGCCCACTCTGCTAAAGACCTCCAACAACTCATGAATTGTTTTAACGAGGCCTGCCAAGACTTTGGATTAATAATCAGCCTGAAGAAAACACAAGTCATCATCTTAGTGAGGCAACTCACTAAGAACATGAGAGACTATATAGACAAGACAAAAAAAAAACCCAATCCAGTCCTGCATCTTGTTTTCCACCCTGGCTCACCAAATGCTTTCAGAAAGTTCCATAATGAAAAAACCTTATTTGCCCTTGATACCTGTCTTGAATAAAGAGGTTCTGTATAGCTGTCAATGCTCACAACCATGCTCACAACCATCTTCTGTTCACCTATCTAAGCCTCCTTTCAAAATTTTAGTGAGATATCTTTGAATCTCCTTATGGATGAAACATAATCATTAAGTATTGAATATATACATTGAAAGGGATCTGTGTATATTCAATACTTAATAGCAAAGGGAGTTTATACAAAGAGCAGCCAGCAAGCCAACCTCATGAAGCAATAAAGGCTGATGAAGACTGTTTTCCTGAATACTGGATAATATCCAATAATGAGGATCCTGCAGCATGAGTGACATAAAGAATAACACTGTTGACCAATCTTGGAAAATGTGGTACTTTCCACAGCAGATTGTTTCCTAGTCATTAGCGCTCTGCTATTTCAGTGTACAGTGCACTGGTATGCTATCTGCAGGGTTGCAAGGGCACAGTCCAAAACAAATGCAAATGTATTTGCAGAGTTCAAAAAAATTATAGATCATTTCCAAAAGAAAATGCTATCCAAATCAGATAGCATTTTGTCCCACAATTTGGTCTGAGTTTGGGACAGCTAGTTTGCACCTTTTCCTGATACACATGCTACTGCAAACCAATCTACCTTGATCAAAACCTATCAGTACCTTTCTGATAATTGTTGGGGGGTTGGTTGGTTAGGATTGCCTTGTTTTGGTTCCATTCCAGCATGTATGACTCCTGAGATTGAACCAGAGCAGCTGGCTGGCTGGCTCTTTGCTGAAGCCACTTAATGATCTTGGGAAATGGGAAGCTTCATTGCCACTTGTCTGCAGAGGGGAACAGAAAATAACTTGTGCATTTTTTAAAAAAAAACTGTTGCTAATGCATCAGTGAGTTTTTTAAAGCTCTTTCAAGGCATCACTGATATACCGTGTTAGTTAGCAACAAACAAAACAATTTCTGTGCAAGAAAGATGGATACAGTTCCAGAATTCATCAAAAAGAATGCAATATCAACCAAGGAGTCTTAGCTCACTGTGTATATTAATTCACAGTTTACCCTACACTCTTGTATATGTATTATATTCCAGGAACTGATCGATTGCATAGAATAATAGACTCTCCACAAGTGTTTCTTCTTGAGTGAAGCTCCTGCCACTTCACACCTCACAGGAACTGTGGGGCTATCTGTTGATACCAACATTCTTGCAGTTTATTATTTGCCTCGATGGTGCTATTGTCGTTAATTCGTCTCCTGTGTCCTCCCTGGTCTTGCTTCATTCTACTAGGCTGCGCCAAGCGGGGTGTTGTACTTCAGCGTCCTTAAGGATGAAGGGAGAGTCAACGGTCGGTTCAGTTGGCTTCTCAGCCTTAAAAGGAGGAGGAGGATAGTGGAGGGACCTTGGCATTCGCCTCCCTCGGACAGCAAAATGTCTTGGGTCGGCCTTGACGTATCCCACCCTGAGGGAAACGGGCCAAGCCAACCTCGGGACCCGGCCCGGCCCGGCCCGCCTACTCGTTTTCCGCAAGGAACAAAAACAACCGAGCTCACCCGGGTCAGGCCGAGACAGGCGAGCAGCAAGGCGGGTGGGCGGCGCTCGGTTTCCACGGGAACCGCCTGAAAGCCGAGCGCGCTCGACCCGGCTCCCCTTCCTACTTCAGCGCTGCCCGGGTTGCTTGCGACGGCAGCCGCCATGTTGATGCTGGGCCGTGGGCTGGACGCCAGGTAACCGCTGGGCGGAGAGAGAAGAGGGGACCGAGCCGGAGGGCCCGGTTCGGGGACACCCTGGCCTATGTTCCCCCGCTGCCTGGGACCTGAGGGGCTGCGGGCTGCTAAGCGGGTGGGAGAAGGGATTCAAGAAACGGGGCGGGCCGAGGCATCGCCATAGGAAACGCTCGTCGTCGGTTTCGGAGGGAGGGTCGTCTAGGAAAGGCGGAAGGGGGCCATAGCAAAGCCAGCCGGGTTTGGGAGCGGGCCGGGGGTTCTGCCTAGATTGGAGTGGGAGGGGGAAAAGGGTCTCGGTTGTGCAGTCGGGAAAGAGGTACCCGAACACAGGCCGGCCTGCATCCTTCCAAGCCACCCACCCACCGACCCTTCTCTCCTTAAGGAGAAAATGCCCTCTGCTTGTGCTCTGGTGCCCAAGTGCTGCGCTCCTTTCCTCGAACTGGAGAGAGTAGTTATTTTGAAAAATCATGTTTAGGATGGAGCAGTGAGGTTTGCGCTTCCCGTGGTGTTTGTAGGTACAAGATGGTATGGGTATGAGGTGCCAAAGACCTGTTGGAATCGTTGAGCTAATTCATTTTCAACTCGCATCTGATCGCCGGAAACCCCGCTCCTTTGTTGAGCGTGCCTGTTTTAAAGAAAGCTGGCACAGATGCTGCTTCACCATATCCTGACCCTCTATACTCCTCTCCTTCCTCTCTTGCTTTACACACAGATCTGTCCATAAAAGGCTGGATTTGTTTTGTTGTTGTTTAGTCGTTAAGACGTGTCCGACTCTTCATGACCCCATGGACCAGAACATGCCAGGCTCTCCTGTCTTCCACTGCCTCCTGGAGTTTGGTCAGATTCATGTTGGTAGCTTTGATGACACTGTCCAACCATCTCGTCGTCTGTCATCCCCTTCTCCTCTTGCCGTCACACTTTCCTAACATCAGCGTCCTTTCCAGGGAGTCTTCTCTTCTCATGAGATGGCCAAGTATTGGAGCCTCAGCTTCAGGATCTGTCCTTCCAGTGAGCACTCAGGGTTGATTTCCTTTATAATAGATAGGTTTGTTCTCCTTGTAGTCCAGGGGACTCTCAAGAGTCTCCTCCAGCACCACAATTCAAAAGCATCCATTCTTCAGCGGTCAGCCGTCTTTATGGTCCAGCTCTCACTTCCATATATCGCTACTGGAAAAACCATAGCTTTGACTATGCGGACCTTGCCGGCAAGGTGATGTCTCTGCTTTTTAAGATGCTGTCTGGGTTTATCATCACTTTCCTCCCAAGAAACAAGCGTATTCTAATTTTGTAGCTGCTGTCACCATCTGCAGTGATCATGGAGCCTAAGAAAGTAAAATCTGTCACTGCCTCCATATCGTCCCCTTCTATTTGCCAGGAGGTGATGGGACCAGTGGCCATGATCTTAGTTTTTTTATATATTGAGCTTCAGACCATTTTTTACACTCTACTTTTTCATCCCGATTAAGAGGCTCTTTAATTCCTCCTCACTTTCTGCCATCAGAGTGGTATCTGCATATATGAGGTTGTTGATATTTCTTCAGTTTAAGCTTGAATTTTGCTTAAAGAAGCTGATGATCAGAGCCACAATCAGCTCCAGGTCTTGTTTTTGCTGACTGTATAGAGCTTCTCCATCTTTGGCTGCAGATAATATAATCAATCTGATTTCAGTATTGCCCATCTGGTGAAGTCCATGTGTTGAGTCACCTCTTGTGTTGTTGGAAAAGAGCGTTTTAGCATTCCAGTCCCCTATAATGAGAAGAACATCTTTCTCTGGTGTCAGTTCTAGAAGGTGATGTAAGTCTTCCTAGAACTGGTCCATTTCAGCCTCTTCAGCATTGGGGGTTGGTGCATAAACTTGGATTACTGTGATGTTGAAAGGTCTGCCTTGGATTCGTATTGAAATCACTCTATCATTTTTGAGATTGTATCCCAGTACAACTTTTCCCACTCTTTTGTTAACAATGAGGGCTACTCCATTTCTTCTACCGGATTCTTGCCCACAGTAGTATATATGATAATTGTCTGAATTGAATTTGCCAATTCCCATGCATTTTAGTTCACTGACACCCAGGATGTCAGTGTTTATTCTTGACCACATCCAAGGTTCATAGATCTTACATTCCAGGTTCCCATGCAGTATTTTTCTTTCCAGCATCCGACTTTCCTTTCACTTCTAGGTGCGTCTGCAGCTGAGCGTCCTTTCGGCTTTGACCCAACCACTCCATTAGCTCTGGAGCTACTTGTACTTGTCCTCCGCTCCTCCCCAGTAGCATGTTGGATTCCTTCCAACCTGAGGGGCTCATTTTCCAGCGTTATGTCTTTTAGCCTTTTGTTTCTGTTCATGGGGTTTTCTTGGCAAAGATACTGGAGTGAGGAGGAATTAAAGAACCTTACAATGAGGGTGAAAGAGGAGAGTGCAAAAAACGGTCTGAAGCTCAACATCAAAAAAACTAAGATCATGGCCACTGGTCCCATCACCTCCTGGGAAATTGAAGGGGAAGATATGGAGGCAGTGACAGACTTTACTTTCTTGGGCTCCATGATCACTGCAGATGGAGACAGCAGCCACAAAATTAAAAGACGCCTGCTTCTTGGGAGGAAAGCGATGACAAACCTTGACAGCATCTTAAAAAGCAGAGACATCACCTTGCCAACAAAAGTCCGAATAGTCAGAGCTATGGTTTTTCCTGTCGTGATGTATGGAAGTGAGAGCTGGACCATAAAGAAAGCAGACCGCCGAAGAATTGATGCCTTGAATTGTGGTACTGGAGGAGACTCTTGAGAGTCCCCTGGACTGCAAGGAGAACAAACCTATCAATTCTAAAGGAAATCAACCCTGAGTGCTCACTGGAAGGGCAGATCCCGAAGCTGAGGCTCCAGTACTTTGGCCATCTCATGAGAAGAGAATACCCCCTGGAAAAGACCTTGATGTTAGGAAAGTGTGACAGCAAGAGGAGAAGGGGACGACAGAGGATGAGATGGCTTGACAGTGTCTGCCAAGCAACCAACATGAAATTGACACAACTACAGAAAGCAGTGGAAGATAGGAGGGCCTGGCGTGCTCTGGTCCATGGGGTCACGAAGAGTCGGACATGACTAAACAACTAGATGAAGACGATGGTGCTATTTATCATATCTGAAGCTTGAGCATCAACTGGAAATGTTGAAACAATTTCTTGGACAATACTTAGGCAATTAGGAATATATTTTGGGTTGCATTGCTGTTCTTCACCATGAAGTTGCTTCCGGATTATGTGACTCTGGAAAATACTAATCTCTGAAAAATTCTCTCATTAATAGCTCTACTCATATCTTGCAAGATCAAGGCCATGGTTCATTAACTGAGTCATTCCATCTGATATTCAGTCTTTTCCTAATGCCTTAAATTTTTCTCAGCATTAATTTTTTCCATTAAGCCTTGTCTCCTTGTGCCCAAAGTTGCTTTAGTTTTGTAAAGTTTGCTTCTAAACAGTTAAAGCTTGATTTTGAATTAGAACCCATTTGTTTGTCTTCCTGGGAGACCATCGTATACATAAAGCTGTCCTTCAACATCACGTTTTGAACAGATCAATATTTTGGATAATAACTCAAATACTTTTCTGTCATTCAATCTAGATTCAATCTAGCCAATGTCAATTTTCCTACTATCTTGCAAACACAAGTACAAGATGGGTGTGGTAAAGTGTAAAGAGAGTTAGGCTCATAGCTCAGTAGATGATTTTGAAAAAGGCAGCATTTTTCAGACTATCATACCTCACAGTATGGGTACAAGGGATTTTCACATATGCCATTCAGAACTCCTTGGAGGGAGAGAAAAATTCACAGACAGCCAGGAATACTGACTTAAGAATCACTTACAAAAGTGACCTTAATATTTTATAGTAAACATTTTGTGATTACAGAGGTTCTTGTCCATCTCAGCTCTTACAGACATGGCACATTTGAAATCTAAATATGTGTCTCCCTACCCTTTGAGGGAGCTAAAATGAAATTATTTGCAGTTGTATTGTCAACACTGTTTATTCTCCTGTCAGTACTTAGTCGTGAAATTGTTTTAACTTTTTTTTCTGTCTAGGGACAATCAGACAAGGCAAGTACGAGAAGCTGTGTCAAACGTGGAAAAACATTTTGGTGAATTGTGCCAAATATTTGCAGCTTATGTAAGAAAAACTGCCAGACTACGAGACAAAGCAGATCTTTTAGTAAATGAAATACATGCTTATGCAGCTACAGAGACACCAAATTTAAAGCATGGATTGAAACATTTTGCAAATGAGTTTTCCAAACTCCAAGATTATCGCCAGGCACAGGTATACAATTATGTTGATGCACTTTGTTGTATACATTTAATATCTTAAATTTAGGAATACTATTGTTATATATTGTCATATACACTGAAAAATAAGGGAATGGTTTCAAACAAATTAGCTACTTAGGTCTCTTTGAAATTTCTTGGCTATATTTACCGTTGCAGAAGCAGGCTGCTACTTCTGTGATGAAGCCTCTTGTCATCCTGAAGTTTTCCACACTACATACACTCCTTTCCATTCTTTGCAAGAAACTGGGAAATCAAGGGAGGAGAGAGGAACCCACACTGCTGGTATATGCCAATCTATCACAGCATGTAGCTAAAACCTTATGGATGTGTGTTTTATCCATTATGCCAGATTAGTTATGATTAGCTTTTCATACTGATTTACAGGGAACTTGTGAATCGGTGTTGCTTTACATCTAACTCAAGAAATCCTCAGAATCTATTAAGGAATAAAAAAATTCTGTAGCAGTTATAGTTTGTCCTTAAAATAAATTTGCTTTCAAATTTTACAGCTGCCATAGAAACAAAATCTTGATGACTGCCAAGCAAGGTATGAAAAATGCTGAGCCTTGTTGAATGCAGGCACAAAATAGGCAACCTGTCAAATGACGTTTTCTAGATGGAAACCTATTATCCTAATGTTTCTACTCTGCCTTCTTTTTTATCTGTGCCACAAGACCAAACTCTGTTTCAAAGTGACTCTTTGTGTGCCCTTTTCTCAATTCTGCCTCCCCCCCAGTTCAGCAACATTGAGATGAGTGCACACATGACAGATCTCTCCCCTAGTAGTGCCATTTGGGTGCTTACTCTGGAGAGATGCTACCTTGGAAAACAAATTATGAACAACAAGGCTGATATATGCTCTAGAGTGTTTCTAGTTATCAAGATGAACTTGAGTACCTAGAATAAATCCTAGTAAATCTTCTACAATGTTCTTCTCCAGTTGTTTATGTGTTAGAATGTCCTTAAAATGACATATTTTAAGAATGACAGCCAAAATAAAGTATTCTTTATTAATTCTTTTTATAGGTAGAACGACTTGAGGCTAAAGTGGTTGAACCTCTGAAATGTTATGGGACCATCATAAAACTTAAAAGAGTATGTGTTTGTATTCTCGAAGGCTTTCACGGCCGGGATCTGATGGTTGTTGTGGGTTTTTCACTCTCTTTGGCTATTTTCTGAAGGTTGCTTCTCCTGACATTTCTCCAGTCTCTGTGGCCGGCATCTTCAGAGGACTGGAGTAGGAACTCTGTCCATGTTCTGTCTGTGTGTTTGATTTTCCCCCTTTGCATTTTAAGGTATTTCTTTTCCCAAGAAAATAGATTGCTGAAAATGTTTAATTGATGTTTCAGAAATAAAACTGTATTTCATTAATCAAATTTTGGTATGTGCAGAACGTGGTATGTGATATTTTCATAAATGAATAATGTTATCCTATTAAGCTGAATGGTAACGGTTTGGGACAGAGAAAAGGATGTGCCCCTATACACAGTGGCTGTGTTTTGATTATCATGTCCCATCTTAAAAAGATATGAATGGTTCTGTTTGCACACATAGTCTATTTGTAGCATATAATAAACCAAACCTCTGAATTAACCATTTTCCCATTTTGTTCAAATTATAGTTGCTAGCATTGTTAATAAATACATAAAAATGGCAACCTAGATTCAGAACAAAAGTTATTTTATTTTAAAATTTTGATGATGGTCAGCTTCTTAATTCAGATAAAAGAGAAATCTGTGGTAGACTATAGACATTCTAAATTGTTTGCTACACCTTTATGAGATTACATGCACAGGCATTTTGTTTCATATTTCAGTGTGTTAAGGCAAGTATCTTCCATATGTCAGTTTATTAAACTCAGATATGAATCTCCAAAGGCAGCCAGTACATGCTTAAGGAAAAGTAGTGACAGCCACAAACAAGTGGCTACTAATCATGATAGTGATGTCTTACATCCAGGTTCAAAGGCAGTACATCTCTGAACACTAGTTGCTGGTGTACTATAAGTGGGAAAGCAGTATCAGCCTTGGGTGCCACTTTGCTAATGACCTTAAGGCGTTTCATTGGCTACTTTGGGGAACTGATGTTGGAGTAGACAGACTTCGTCTGATCTGGAAGGTCATTTATTTATTATGAATTATTGTATTATATTTAAATTTAATGTTATGAATTATTATATTGTTTATATTTTAATAAAATTTCCAGTTTAAAATAAAAAACAATTTAGCTAAAAATATCAGTTAATTAACAGCTGAGGTGACAGTAAAACTTGAATAATATAGTAATATTAAGTGTAGGGATGTGTCACTGGAGACCAAGACCAGGATCATCTACACACTCTGATCACCATGTACAGGTGTGAAAGCTGGACGGTTAAGTAAGCTCACAGGAAAAAATCGATTCATTTGAAATGTAGTGCTGGAAGGGAGGTCTGTGGATACACTGGAATGCCAGAAAGACATACAAGTGGATTCTAGATCAAATCAACCCTCGACTATCTTGGAGGCAAAATTGATGAAGCTGAGGCTGTCTCTTTTTGGAGTGCCACTACTTAGAAGCCCCTGGCTCCTAGCTATTTCCCTCATCTCAAATGCTGGCAACATCTAGCCTTTTATTTAATTTATATATTTATTTAGCTTTTATACCGCCCAGCTAGACGAATCTACTCTGGGCTGTTTACAGTCCAAAAAAAGGCAATAAAATTAAAATCATCAACAAAAAGACTAAAACAAGCCAAAATCCAGAGGAAAAATTAAGTAGTGGCAGGAGGGAAGGCCTGCCTAAAGAGCCAGGTCTTAATTCTTAAAAACTCCCAGCGAGGGAGACGGGCAGATCTCAGAGGGAAGGATGTTCCAAAGGCGAAGGGGCCACCGCTGAGAAGGCCCGGTTTCCTCCAAAGGCAAAGGGGCCACCGCTGAGAAGGCCTGGTTTGTAGTTTTTTCCTTCTAGTTAAGCCCTTCAGCCACCCAGTCTGGCTAGAACGAGTGACACTGGTAGAACTAGGTGGAAGAAGGCACTCTGACAGGTATCAAGGTCCTAAACCATTTAGAGCTTTACTGACAATTTTGAGATACAAGAAGGTAGATCTAGAAACAGCACTTCAAGAGTCAGTGCAAATAGACACAGCACAATCAATCAACAATCAAATGATTATGTTCTAATTGGTATTGGATCAGATGCATTCTGAATTAACTTCAGTTTCCAACTGTCTTCAGAATGCAGCACTTCAGAGTTCTTACTCAACAGGAACATTAGTCTGTCTCAAAATGGATAGTATGTTTTAGTCATATTGCACTGGTAGACTGAAACTTACCTGGTATCTTAATGCATGGCGAATTTTTGATCAATGGCAAATATTTTAAGGGCTGAAAATGCTTCTACAGGTACAGTTATGGCTGATGTGCTGGTAAGAGCTTAGAAAATCCTTTAATTTTATTAGAATATGATGTGCTTATGTAAGAGCTGACTTAGAAAATCCTTTAATTTTATTAGAATAAGTGATGTAAGAATAGAGCCTCTAAATCTGGCGATTTTACAGTGACATCATGACTAATAACACTGATAGATCCATCCTAATATATCTTTAAATAGGAGCAAATCTGAAGTAGCAAGAAACCTCCTGTTTAAAGGAATGCCTCCAATGAACTTGGTATATGTAAGAGCTGACTTAGAAAATCCTTTAATTTTATTAGAATAAGTGATGTAAGAATAGAGCCTCTAAATCTGGCGATTTTACAGTGACATCATGACTAATAACACTGATAGATCCATCCTAATATATCTTTAAATAGGAGCAAATCTGAAGTAGCAAGAAACCTCCTGTTTAAAGGAATGCCTCCAATGAACTTGGTATCATATTTTATAGATGTTTCCTTAATCATAAATGTTGCTCTTCAGAATATGGAAATTGGGCACCTGTTTAGTTTGTAACTATCTGTTGCAAATAAACAAGGTTCAAATTTAACATTTTTTCTTATTTTTTTCCTGCATGCATTAATTGTATGAGTTGGTATTAAGTACACATTAATTCTATCTAGAAATTATTAATTCTCATTGTAGGAAATACAGTTATGTATTGCATAATTGCAGAACTTGCATTAAGCTTAGTGTTAAGCTGAGAATAACACAGAATTTTTCAGTTGCATTTCTCATGAGATCAAGGAAAATGTTTTCTTTAGCAGCAGCAACCTTTGAGTAAAATGTATAATGACACATTCTTTCACAGTGTGTAAAAGTGAATGCTTTAGTGTTGGTTAAATGCAAGAAATATGTACAATGTTAATATGTAAATTAGTTATGAAGTCAAATGAGCAGAAACCTTTTTTTTAAATCTTCAGTCTCTAAAAATCTTTGTTTCTATAATTGTAGGAGGATCTCAAAGCAACTTTAACAGCAAAGAACCGAGAAGCAAAACAGTTGTCCCAGCTTGAAAGGACGCGTCAACGAAATCCATCAGATCGACATATTATTGTATCCTCTGTACATTATTAAGCACTGGGACAGGCAAAGTGTACCCATGGGCTGTACACAGCTCCTACCCCCCTGCCACCATTATTGTTTTACAAAATAAAGATTCCAAGAGCAGTTTCTACATCAAAGGTTGAAGGGGGGGTCCCTATGTGCCCCTACTGAAAACATTTTAAAAAGGGAAATCAGAAATGCTAATTTGGGCATTTCTTGATTACGTTTCCCCCTCCCAAAAAATTGGCCCAAAGTTGCCTTTCTGAGGCTTTATACAGCCCACAGTAGGTACCTGGAATAAAAATTTACCTTCCCCATCACCCTGAGCTTGCCCACCCCACTATAACACTTCTGAAGTGATTTGTTCTTACTTCATAAGACTCATTTAAAAGTGTGTATATATATATATGCATCTGCCGTGCAATTTCTACCATTTGTCTTCCTAAAATACTCTGTGGTTGATTGGCAGGTATACTGGAAAATCCATTTTTAAAACATTTCCAAAACAAATACAGTGGTGCCTCGCTTAACGAGCGCCCCGTACAGCAATGAATTCGCATAGCGATCCCTCTTCCGGGATCGCTAATGCGAAGGCATCGCTCGGCCCCAATGGGCGAAATTCGCATAGCGAAGGTCGGTAAGCCTTTCGCTTACCGACCTTCGTTTTGCGACCCGCGGATCAGCTGTTCAGTGGGTCAAAAATGGCCGCCGGATCACCCGAAATGGCCGCGGGCAGCGTTTTCGCGCCCTTGGTAAGCGAGGGGAGGGT